CGTGAGGTTGGCGATGAAGAACGCGTCCAACCCACCTCAGTCGTCTTTCTTGGATGACCTGGGATACCCTTCCAATGTTGTCGCAGCGAGTGCGGACTGTCTCATTTGAGACGAAGTCAGTGTCCTTCATTCGAAGAATGGTCCTCAAGTAGTAGTGGTCAAATACCTCAAGTTTTCATTCATCACACACGCCTCCTGAGCCTAGTGTTATTGCCCTCGATCCGGCGTCGTTGCTCACCCTCTTAATATCTAGCTCGGCACAGTTCACTAAGGTATAAAAGTGGTTCTTGAGCTCTCCGTAAGGGGGAGAGAATAGGTTGGACTGTCCATATCCGTTGCCGCGGATCTTAACGCTTGGGGAAGTACAATTCGTGAAATCATCGGAACCTATTAGGTCAGGCATGGTCACACCTATTCAAATCATAGCAACAACAGGAGCAAATAATTCAGGTCGAAACACCCGTGTCTGAATCTTTTCTCACGGCCCATCCACTGATTTTAATCTGTTTACCTTTGTGGTGGAGCTGCTGTTCTTTGTCACTCCCTTAGGTAGAACTGCTTTAGCACCTCGTTGAAAAGCGTTTTCCCCAAAGGTCCCAGTTTGAGTGCCTATCATTGCCTTTCTCAATCTCAGCCCACTGTCTCTCAACGTATGGTTTTTTTTGCCTTGCAGAGGGACTACGTTATCTACGATCCGCATGGAAACTATGACGACTCCCTGAGCTACACAGCTCCCGATTACGAGCAGCCGGACGAATATCACCAAAATCACCATGCCGGTGCTGAACCACGGGAGCCTACCGGTGCCGATTTTAGAGGTCCCGAGGGTCAGCCCTATGAGGTGGCTGAGTACCCGGCTGTTGGACCGCCAGCTCCTCTTTTTCCCCCAACTGCTCATCCCAACTCTGTCCTAGAGCCGACCTTCTACCATCCACCAAGGGGGTCGCCCGCAATGAAGCCCTTCGTTGCGTCTGGTCTTTCGATTCCCGACCACCTTATACCCGCCTTCAGTAAGTTCAAGCCTCTCTCTCATCCACCTGCTTCTCATCCAGTAGCCTCCGTCTCGCTAGCATCAAGTTTTTCGGTCTTAGGCACATTCCAGCACCAAGAGTCCGTTCCCAGTTGAGTAGTCCAGTTCCCGCATATTGTTCGTCCGCACCAAGGTTGCACAGTACATCAGTTCTCGCGGACGCCCTAGCACGAATCGTAGTACTGTAAGTGGCCATAATTGCACGAGGTTTAGTGGGGATTTTGAATATAGGCGGGTCTCCAACAGGCGCTCGGATTCTTTGTTCGAGGTTGTCTCCTAGCACCTTGACTCAAGAACCTAACCACAAGAAAGCGGTGGTAGGCAAGCATTTTTATGGCGGTTTACCGTCGCCATGTGTCACACTGCCGTTGACATTGGGATTTGCAGCATTTTCTAAAGCAGTCGGTGCACCAGACCTGAGTCCCGTGGGCCCTGGTAGCACTGTCCTGCTTGTCTTGTCTTGATCCGATTAGCTCCTGTTATTGGATGAATCGGCTTCACGGATGTCAC